CTTGGGATTCTTTGATATGCTGAATCTAACCATGTATTTAGATTTTGGATATTGGACCATAATAGGTGAATGTCCAATTTAAAATTTTTAAGTTCTTAGACCACATTCATTCTGTGTCAGTAACCTATGCTGTGTCAAATATTTAATCACAATCCAAATGCAGAGCTGTATCAATCTTGAATGTTGTGTCCATACTTGCCCCAACTGTTCAGGGTTCGACCTCTGCAGTCGTATCAAGCTGTGCCCTGTGGAGCATTTTATTAATTTTGGGTCCCGTTTTTTAAATTGGTCTACATTAAGGTTCAAAGGGTCCAAAATTAAACTTAGTTTGATTTTAACAAAAATTGAATTAATGGGGTTCTTTGATATGCTGAATCTAAACATGTGTTTAGATTTTTGATTGTGGGCCCAGTTTTCAAGTTGGTCCAAGTTGGGGTCCAAAATTAAACTTTTTTTGATTTCAACAAAAATTGAACATATGAGGTTCTTTGATATGCTGAATCTAACCATGTATTTAGATTTTTTATTTGTGGACCCCGCTATCAAATTGGTTCATATTGAGGTCAAAAGGGTCCAAAATTAAACTTCGATTTCATCAAAAATTGAATTATTGGGGTTCTTTGATATGCCAAATCTAACTGTGTATTTAGATTTTTAATTTTGGGTCCTGTTTTTTAAATTGGTCTACATTAAGGTCCAAAGGGTCCAAAATTAAACTTAGTTTGATTTTAATGAAAATTGAATTCTTGGGGTTCTTTGATATGCTGAATCTAAACATGTGTTTAGATTTTTGATTATGGGCCCAGTTTTCAAGTTAGTCCAAGTTGGGGTCCAAAATTAAACTTTGTTTGATTTCAACAAAAATTGAATATATGGGGTTTTTTGATATGCTGAATCTAAACATGTATTTAAATTTTAGATTTTTGGCCCAGTTTTCTAGTTGGTCCAAATTGGGGTCCAAAATTAAACTTTGTTTGATTTCAACAAAAAATTAAATATATGGGATTCTTTGATATGCTGAATCTAACCATGTATTTAGATTTTTGTCGAGCCTTCGACTTTTGTCGAAAAAGCGAGACATAGCGATCCTACATTCCGTCGGCGGCGGCGGCGTCCACAAATATTCACTCTGTGGTTAAAGTTTTTGAAATTTTAATAACTTTCTTAAACTATCCCGGATTTCTACCAAACTTGGACAGAAGCTTGTTTATGATCATAAGATAATATTCAAAAGTAAATTTTGTAAAAAAAAAATTCCATTTTTTCCGTATTTTACTTATAAATGGACTTAGTTTTTCTGCCAGTTAACATTACATTCACTCTGTGGTTAAAGTTTTTGAAATTTTAATAACTTTCTTAAACTATCCTGGATTTCTACCAAACTTGGAAAGAAGCTTGTTTATGATCATAAGATAGTATCCAGAAGTAAATTTTGTAAAAAAAAAATTCCATTTTTTCCGTATTTTACATATAAATGGACTTAGTTTTTCTGCCAGTTAACATTACATTCACTCTGTGGTTAAAGTTTTTAAAATTTTAACAACTTTCTTAAACTATCCTGGATTTGTACCAAACTTGGAAAGAAGCTTGTTTATGATCATAAGATAGTATCCAGAAGTAAATTTTGTAAAAAAAAAATTCCATTTTTTCCGTATTTTACTTATAAATGGACTTAGTTTTTCTGCCAGTTAACATTACATTCCCTCTGTGGTTAAAGTTTTTAAAATTTTAACAACTTTCTTAAACTATCCTGGATTTGTACCAAACTTGGACAGAAGCTTGTTTATGATTAAAAGCTATTATCTTAACATTACATACAGTCTGCAGTTTAAGTTTTTAAAACTTTTATTAGATTCATAAACTATCCTGGATTTTTACCAAACTTGGACAGAAGCTACTTACAATCAAAAGATAGTATAGAGAGGAATATTTTTATTAATTTTTTTCCTCATTTTTGTTGAGCCTGCCATTAACAGCAAAAGTAGGCGAGACACTGGGTTCCGCGGAACCCTTACGAATTTTTTATTTGTGGGCCCGCTATCAAATTGGTTCATATTGAGGTCAAAAGGGTCCAAAATTAAACTTTGTTTGATTTCATCAAAAATTGAATCATTGGGGTACTTTGATATGCCAAATCTAACCGTGTTTTTAGATTTTTAATTTTGGGTCCCGTTTTTTAAATTGGTCTACATTAAGGTCCAAAGGGTCCATAATGAAACTTAGTTTGATTTTAACAAAAATTGAATTCTTGGGATTCTTTGATATGCTGAATCTAACCATGTATTTAGATTTTTTATTTGTGGGCCCCGCTATCAAATTGGTTCATATTGAGGTCAAAAGGGTCCAAAATTAAACTTTGTTTGATTTCATCAAAAATTAAATTATTGAGGTACTTTGATATTCCAAATCTAACCGTGTATTTAGATTTTTAATTTTGGGTCCTGTTTTTTAAATTGGTCTACATTAAGGTCCAAAGGGTCTAAAATTAAACTTAGTTTGATTTTAACAAAAATTGAAATCTTGGGGTTCTTTGATATGCTGAATCTAAACATTTGTTTTGATTTTGGACATTGGACCATAATAGGTAAATTAAAAAAAATTCAAGTTCTTAGACCACATTCTTTCTGTGTCAGAAACCTATGCTTTGTCAAATATTTAATCACAATCCAAATTCAGAGCTGTATCAAGCTTGAATGTTGTGTCCATACTTGCCCCAACTGTTCAGGGTTGGACCTCTGCGGTCGTATCAAGCTGTACCCAGCGAAGCATTTTATTTTAGATTCCTGGTTGTTAAAGTGATTTATTACAACTGGTACTGTTTTACTGCCTGGTGTAATTTGTTATGAAATTATTTTGTGACTTGCAGTTAATGGTCTTATCTTGTACTTCTTCAAGTAGAGGGACACTTGCAGGGATACATATTGTGAAGTAAATAACAACAAACATTCAGCATGTTTAAAAAAATCTTTTTTGTGTCTTTGAAGAATAAGTTTGATATTTTTATTTTCAAATTTCTGAAATTTGTTCAATGATGAAGTATATCATATGAACTTGATCAGTATACATAGTCTCCTGTCAGGTGTAAAGGAAATGAAAACTAGAAGTCACAATTATATTGAGAAGACGTACAGCAACTGCATTTCCCACACTATATGCTTTGATTACCAATTTATGTTAATATTGCCTTTTATCTTTAAAGCTGTAATAGATAGGCAAAACTTTTTTATTTAAACTGCAAATTGAGAAATACAGGATTTACAGAAATGCCAACATGACTCAAACTATCTATTGAGTTCTTAAGTTATAGGAATTATTGTCTTTAAATGATGATTTTGTGAGAAATTTTAGTTCTTTTCTTTAAAATTATAATAGATGGACAGAATTTAAATATTCAACAAAAATGATCATCAAGACAAAGTACAAAGTTAATACAAAGTAGTCATATGAAAGAAAATGTCAATGGAAAGTTTTTTGGAGTTATTGCCCTTTAATGATACTTCATGGTAGCATGCTCACCCCTTGTGAGAGTTTGTGGGTTAGATCCCTGATCAGGTCATACCAAAGAATTTGGTGTATTCTCCACAATTGGCTAAGCATGTATAGGGCATTGTTAGAACATGCAGGATTAAGACCAAAAATTGATTATCACAGTCTGGTAATAATGTGTCTAGGTAGGGTGATTTTGCAAAGTATTAGTTTTTGTCTTGCCTGCGACGCAGAAAGCGAGACATAGGGATTACAATCTTGCAGCGGCTAAAACTATTTGTATTGAGCTTTATATCTCATAGGGTAGTATAGACCTGGAGGCTTCATACTTTGTATATAGATGCCTTATGTGACAAAGTTTCCGTCTGTAATATGTCTGTTGTCCCCGACCTCATTTTCATGTTTCAGCAACTGCTTGATAAAAAAATGTAGTTTTTTTTTTTTGTGAATTTCTCACTTATTATGAGTAATACGATAACTATATTTGGTAATGGGTTCTTTGCTAGTTCACCTAACCTTTATGTCCTTTATGGATCAGTGATCCAGGTTAAAGTTACATGATAAGGTCTGTTTCTCAGATACTGTAAGCAGTAGATCAACTATGTTTGGTGTATGGAATGAGTGTAAGGTGTACATGTCTGTCTGGCTGGTATCATCTGTCTATGACCTCATTTTCATGACTCATTGGTCATTGTTAAGTTTCAGTAGTAAGGTCCTTTTCTAAGATACTATAAGCATGATAAGCAATAGGTCAACTATATTTGGTGTATAGATAATTGAAAAGTGTACATGTCTAGCAGGCAGGGTTCATCTGACCTTGACCTCATTTTCATGGTTCATTGGTCAATGTTAAGTTTTTTCTGGTTATGTCTGTTTCTTAGATACTATAACTAATAAGGTCGACTATATTTGATGTATGGAATGATTGTAAGGTGTACATGTCTGTCTGGCAGGGTTCATCTGACCTTGACCTCATTTTCATGGTTCATTTGTGGATATTAAGTTTTCATGGTTTGGTCTGTTTATTGTATTAAGCAATTGGTCTGACAACTATATTTTGTGTATGAAATGATCGTAAGGTGTACATATAGTTACCTATAAATGACCTATAATGGTCTACTTTTATAAATTTTGACTTGGATGGAGAGTTGTCTCATTGGCACTCATACCACATCTCCTTATATCTCTGTCTGTCTGGCTTGGTTTATTGGACCATGACCTTATTTTCAATGACCATATATATAATGTTAAGTTTATGTGATACTAATGTAGTCAATTTATATGATGAATAATGAATAGTAAAGCAGGCAAGAGCTAAGTCCTAGCAAGCTGTTGGCAAGAGTATTTAAATAATTTATTTCCATTTAGGAAAGTGAACTTATAATTTTACTTCAATTTTTGAAAACTTCAAATGTAAATATATTTCATGAAATTTATTAATTGTAGAAAAATTTTGCCCAAATTTCTGATTTTCCTTTGCTGTAACAGTTAAAACCTTCAAACACATTTCAGACCTGTATCAAGCTTGAATATTGTGTCCATTTTTGCCACAACTGTTCAGGGTTGGACCTCTGCGGGCGTATCCAGCTGCGCTCAGCGAAGCAGTTTATTAGTAATGTTGATTTATTCGGATAAAATAGGAGGGAAGTCTAAAGAGGCAGATACTGTAAAAGGGCAAATGTCCCATATAAAAACTGCAAATGTCCTATTTTAAAAAGCTCAAATGTCCTATAAATTGAAGCCCAAATGTCCATTAAAAAAGACGCAAATGTCCTGCACACAAAATTGCATATAACTCTTACCTGAGCATTTTCTGCAATAGAATTTATTTGTTTATACAATAAAAATTATCATTAAGAAAATGCATTTTCAATGCCTCTTTCTGGAAATTGATAAGCCAATTATTATCAATGCCATATAAAAAATATACTACTTGTTTGAAGATTTCCCTTATCATTCTTGTCAAAATCATTAAATTGCAAATGTTACTAAAAAAAGATGTTAAAAAACATTACCTTGTCTAAAATTGAAATATCAAACTAGTTTGCATTAAAATTATGAAATTTTCCATCTTTGGGCAATAGAATAGAAATTTACAGTCAGATTATGAAAATGAAAATCACAAAAAAAATATCTGACTAGCTACAAAATTGGCTGGATCGCAATGTGGACTATTCTTTGATTTATCAGAAAAGAATCATATATTTTACTCACAATTTGTGCTGGTCACATTTATTTTTTAACAGTATCTGACACTGTCTTTGTATTGATAATGATAATTTCTAACCCTTTTTGAGGACACTTATAAGTAAATATTATTTGAATTTTCTGTTTGATTTGTTGATTGATACTAATTCTGAGTGACAGTTGTGATGTTGGAGTAGTGATTTATAATTATTTATCATTGTCTTCACCACCTTATTATCAGTTCTACCTTAATAAAAATCATTTCTAATACAGTTGTCATGGTTGTGGAGCTGAAACAGCTGGACTGTAAAAATGTATATGTATTGATTGATCCATCTTGCCAAGTCAAAATTTTAATCAGGTTACTAATTTTGTCTTTTAGATCAGTCAGATGTTTTGACATGTGCCAGCTTAACGACTAAAAAGGTAAATATTGTATATAGTATAGACAGTTGTACATTGATTGGACAATAATTGAAAGGTATTTTATTATTAACATTTATGTTTATCCTCTATGTTTGATTTTTTACAGTATTAATTGATTATTTAATTCATTTTCTTTCTTAAAAAAATGTAATTTTTATGATTAGTTTTAAAGCAATATAGCTATGCTTAAAGTGACATGAATTTAAAACCACATATTAAACATGTGAATGTCGTGTATTATATGCATATGGTATGAATCATACAATGTGTTAAAATATGTTGACACATATTGTTTATAATACCTCAGGAGTTCTAAATCTTAACCATGTTAAGTGATAATTGTGTTGTACATGTAGTATATTTTAATTATTCATTTTTTTCATTAGAAGGGATTTTTAGTCAATTTTATATTGGAATATGTATTTACTATTTACTGCTCTGTTGAATAGCCACAAACATCTCTTTCTGTGCCAGATATATGAACTTAGGTTGACACATTTAATTAGCATACTGTGGATTCATTTATTTTCATTTATTGAGGAAAACTTGCATTTTCATGGATATTTGATTTCATTTTTTTTCCAATGTCTGCATACATTCTGATAGGAAATTTGTAATTCATTGTATATTGGAATTTGTGGTTCCCGGGTAATCACTAAATCCACGAAAATTGGTATCCAACGAATCCTCAGTACATGGGGAGTTCATATGCAATTGTAAGTTGTGGTATCCAGGGCCTAATCTAGGATTTTGAAGAGGGAGAAGTGACTTCTCCTTCCAAGAGAGAGAAGGGAGAAGTGGTCAATTTCTTGGAGAAGTGAGATTCCATTACCGTTTCGGTTGCATCGTGTTTTCATGCTTATCACTAAGGAAATTGTTTTATATTCAATTAAAGATATACTTGCAGTTTTTTCATGTTATTGTACACAATGTATATATAGAAAGTTCTTAATAAAAAGGTTTAGACAATATATAGTTGTTATTTATTTATTGATACCATTGTGTTCTAAATAAAATTTGTTGATTGGGACATGAGGGAGTAGCCTAGTAATATTAACATGATTATGATGCATTAAATTCATGTGCATCTGCCTCAATTTATTTTTAAAAGTCCAGAAAAAATATAACTCCCAGTTTCCCTGTTGAATTTCACATGACTGGGAATTTAATTTATATCACCACTTGTCATTATTTTGTAAAACATTATTGAATGTCCAGGCCATTATGTTAGTTGTAAATTGAGATTATCGTTAAAGATTGTAAGTCTATAAATGAAAATATTTTTTAATCGCATATTCATTATCCGACAAAGAGCTAATTTCTATCATTTTTAAAAAATATCATCCATATCAACGAAATGGTCGTGAGAAACAATCCACTGCTGATCACAACCTGGTCGAGTGTCGTACGTTTGCCATCACATTATCTATCAGCAGTCTTTCTACATTTTATATTTCAATTTTTATTCAATCAATATAATAAATCTAAAGTTAATTCCAACCTTTTACCTACCGAATAGTAAAATTGATCGACTCGTGTAAGTTGTAAAAATAAAACAAATCAGCTGAGTGATTACGCAACATCCTCAGATGAAAATTATCGTAAATTGATAACTTAAACAGACGGTCAGTTTTCCGTTTGAACAGTTTTGAAAGTTATATCCGAGGATGTTCAAAGTCGCCGTTGTATTTATTTAATTTGATCGTTGACAGTATTAGTCCTGGGTCGTTTCGAAAATCTTGATTTTCCTTGTCAGCCGCCATTTTTTTTACCTGTGAGACTTGTCAATCACAAGTTGTCTCCCTTTTACCGATTTTGATAGCGATTTGACTTCGCTATGAAGTCAGTCGGCCGGCGAGATTTAGCGATTTTCAAAATTCTTTGGCGACTTAAATCGTCATTTCGCCGGCAAGATTATGGCCTGGTATCATATTTTTATGCCCCCGCCGTAGCGAAGGGGGCATTAAGTTAAACCCTTGTCCGTCTGTACGTCCGTCCGTCCGTACGTCACAAAATTGGTTTCAGTTCTCTAACTTTAGTTTGTCTCAACCAAATTTTATGAAACTTATACACAATGCTTATTACCACAAAACACAGATTAAGTTTTGAAATTTGGTGGAGTCACTTTTACCATTCTAGAGTTATGCCCCTTTACAAATGGAAAAATTGCTAAATTTTTCGTTTCCGTTCTCTAACTTTAGTTTGCCTCAACCAAATTTTATGAAACTTATAAACAATGCTTATTACCACAAAACACAGATCAAGTTATAAATTTGGTGGTGTCACTTTTACCATTCTAGAGTTATGCCCTTTACAAATGGAAAAAATGCTAAATTTTTCGTTTTCATTCTCTTAACTTTAGTTTGCCTCAACCAAATGTTATGAAACTTATACACAATGCTTAATACCACAAAAAACAGATCAAGCTTCAATTTTGGTGGTGTGACTTTTACTGTTCTAGAGTTATGCCCCTTCAAAATGGAAAAATAGCTGAATTTTTCATTTCCATTCTCTTACTTTAGTTTGCCTCAACTCAATGTTATGAAACTTATGCACAATGCTTATTACCACAAAACATAGATCAAGCGTGAATTTTGGTGGAATGACTTTTACAGTTCTAGAGTTATGCCTCTTTACATATGGAAAAATTACTGATTTTTTTGTTTCCGTTCTCTTACTTTAGTTTGCCTCAACCAAATGTTATGAAACTTATACACAATGCTTATTACTACAAAATTCAGATCAAGTTCAAATTTGTGTCCCATGGACACATTCCCCATTTATTTTTAATTTGCTTACATTCAGACATAACTAAGAATATTATAGGTTATTACAGTCGTATTGAGAAATATTGTCCTGTTTTATTTGGAACCTCTCTAGTGCATACCATATTTGAAAGTCACACGAAACAAGTTTCTTGTATTTATATAATGTGAAGGAAATTAGTGAACCAATGCATGTGTATACACTAAACTAAGTCCTCTAAGTCTATGTACGTTAATTTACATTTGTTACGAATCCATAATGTATAATCGACAAAAAATATTTAATTCATTGATTAATTGTTTAACAAAAATTTTAGCTGCTAATTAACTCTCAGGTTTTGATGACGAAGTTTACCAATAGTGACCTTGATAAACAATCAACACAGATTCATGGAACTTAAGAAAAATAAGTGAGAAGATAGATGATGGATAAAATGGTGTTTATTTATTAATTTTTGTCTCGCCTTTCCTCGCTTAAAGCGAGACATAGGGATTGCTTTTCCGGCAGTTGCTGCGGAGGCGTCAACAATTGTTAAGTTTTCTGCTTAAGTTAGTTTGATAGGAAACTACTTGTGATAGATCATTGATATTTAATACAAAGTTGCATTACTTTCGGAACATATCAGTTTGACGACTATTTTGAGGTCCTGCGCCCTAGGTTATGGTCCAGTGACTTTGAATTAATTAGCAATTTTCAATGTTAAGTTTTCTGCTTAAGTTCATGAAGTTAGTTTGACAGGATCTACTTGTGATAGATCAATGATATTTTGTATGAAGTTGCATTGCTATCAGTTCAAATCAGTTGGACGATTATTTTCAGGCCCTGCCCACTCATGTTGCTGTCCATCAGATTGTCTTTTTCTGAATTTTGTGCCGACAGTTTATTATATTGGCCATGTGTTCCCATTTGTAAATTAAACTTTGTCATAACGTTGTTACATGACATGGTGAAATAAAATGTTTCTTTTTGGATAGATTAATTCTATTCCTAGATTCCTCGTTTGTTCACTTTTTCATTCATCACAGTTTTTCCCTTGCACTTACACTGTGGGGTGTCAATTCCTAACGAGTTGGGTCATGGTTAAGGTCATGCACTGCATACCAAAAAGCTGTCACCAAATAAGTGTATGATAGACAATTAATTCAATAGCAGTACATTTCTGAAGATTTGGAGAGGATAAAAGATTTTCTTTTAAAAGAAAGTCCATGTACACATATTTCATATTAAAACTTAACCATTCAATTATATAAAACATATTCCTGAACATGCATGAAATATTTGCCACTGGACATTGAGCAACCAACAATCATTCAATCGATATAAAACACATTCAACTTTTTATTTATTATTTGTAGTTTCATAAGGCTTTAAGGAGAATGTATAGAATATATACAATATTTTTAGCTCATTGAAAATACTCTACTTCTTTTAGATATATATTTATAAAGGAATATCAGTAAGAATATTAATAATGCATTTTTATACGACCCCAAAAATATTTTGCGGTCGTATATTGGTATGACGTTGGCGTTGTCGTCGTCGTCGTCCGAAGACACATTGGTTTTCGTACTCTAACTTTAGTTTAAGTGAATGGATCTCTATGAAATTTTACCATAAGGTTCCATACCACAAAAGGAAGGTGGGGATTGATTTTGGGGGTTATGGTACCAACAGTTAAGGAATTAGGGGCCAAAAATAAGCATTTTTGTAACTTCCAGACATAACTTGTGTGTTAGTGTATAGATCTCTCTGACATTGTACCACAAGGTTCCATATCACAAAGGGAATGCTGGGATTGATTTTGGGGGTAATTGCCTCCAAATTTTAGGAATTAGGGGCCAAAAAGGGGCAAAAAACAAGCATTTTTCTAGTTTCATGACCATAACTTGTGTGTAAGTATATGGATCTCTCTGACATTGTACCACATGGTTCCATATCACAAAGGGAATGCTGGGATTGATTTTGGGGGTAATTGCCTCCAAAGTTTAGGAATTAGGGGCCAAAAAGGGGCAAAAAACAAGCAGTTTTCTAGTTTTCAGACAATAACTTGTGTGTAAGTGTATGGATCTTTATGAAATTGTACTACAAGGTTCCATATCACAAAGGGAAAGCTGGAATTGAGTTTGGGGGTAATTGCCCAAAACGTTTAGGAAAAAGGGGCCAAAAATAAGCATTTTTCTAGTTTCCAGACAATTACTTGTGTTCAAATGTATGGATCTCTCTGAAATTGTACTGCAAGGTACCATACCACAAAGGGAAGGCTGGGATTGATTTTGGGGGTAATTACCTCAAAATTTTAGGAATTTGGGGCCAAAAAGGGGCCAAAAAACAAGCATTTTTCTAGTTTCCAGACAATAACTTGTGTTCAAGTGTATGGATCTTTATGAAATTGTACTGCAAGGTACCATACCACAAAGGGAAGGCTGGGATTGAGTTTGGGGGTGATGAATCATAATGGGGTTCAAAAAATTTGGGGGGATTTTTTTCCTTTTTTTTCTTTAAAATTCTCTATTTTAAATTGGTTATTTCTGATTTATATATAAAAGCAAATAAAAATGATATGGTTTAAATTTTTTTAAGTTCTTAGACCACATTCATTCTGTGTCAGAAACCTATGCTGTGTCAAATATTTAATTACAATCCAAATTCAGTGCTGTATCAAGCTTGAATGTTGTGTCCATACTTGCCCCAACTGTTCAGGGTTCGACCTCTGCGGTCGTATCAAGCTGCGCCCCAGCGGAGCATTTTATTATTTTACAAATAATACTTGCAATGACCATTGCATCAATGACTTCATTATATTTTAGGTAATTGGCTCAATAATTTTCAAATTTTGCTGTCAACCTGACTAAAGTTCATTTTTATTCAACTGCAAAATTTTGTATCAAGCTCACAATGCCCGGCAGAGTCTATATGTTTTGGTTTTGCTCATTATTAACAGATATACTTGAATTCGGTTCATTAAAATGTTGAAGTTTCCTCTGAAACTTAAGTACAGAAAAAGTAGAATAATTAGTTCAGCTAAATAACAACTTTAAAGATGGTAATCAAATTTATAATAACATGCATGAATTTATTCTTTTGCTTGAATAATCTCCCTAATTATAAAACTGACAATGGAATACAATATGTAACCTACCCATGTATGGCAATATAATCTAAATCCCATATACTTAAATAGCATCTCATTCATAAGAAGTCTTTGATCATCTGATTAGTGAAGACAAGATGACAGTTGAGAATTCTTTTTTCTCTATTCAAAATTATAAACATGACATATTTTTAGTGTAAAATTGGTTAAATGTATCTATTAATTACTGAACAAGAATTACATAGCATTGGTTAATTATCCATGTTGTCAATAGGATTTATTTTTTCTTCATAGCATAACATTAGGATGAATCAAATGTTTATCTATTCTAAGCAAAAACTCTGATTGAAAATTATGCTTCAAAGAACTTTAATACACAAGCTTTTTATACGACCGCAAAAAATTTTGCAGTCGTATATTGGTATCACGTCGTTATCCTCGTCCGCATCGTCCGAAGACATTTAGTTTCCGGACAATAACTTTAAGTAAATAGAAATCTATGAAATTTAAACATACGGTTTATAACCACAAAAGGAAGGTTGAGATTGATTTTGGGGGTTATGGTCCCAACAGTTTAGGAATTAGGGGCCAAAAAGGGGCCCAAATAAGCATTTTTCTAGTTTCCAGACAATAACTTGTGGAATGGTGTATGGATCTCTCTCTGAAATTATACAACAAGTTTCCATACCACAAAGGGATGGTTAGGATTGACTTTGGGGTGTTATGACTCAAACCGTTTAGGACAAAACAACATTTTTTTTGAAGGATGGGGGTGGTTAATTGGCAACAGCATAGTGTATTGCACAAAAGCAAAAAATTGAATATAAATTCAAATCATATAACCAATTCTAAGTTCTTGGACTACAGTTATTCTGTGTCAGAAACCTATTATTACAATCCAAATTCAGACCTGCATCGAGCGCGAATATTGTGTCCATTTTTGCCCCAACTGTTCAGGGTTGGACCTCTGCGGTCATATCCAGCTGCTCTCGGCGAAGCAATTTATTATTTCAATGTAGTACAGAACTTAACTTAAGACTATTTTCTTATTTTGAATGGTCTTAAAGTATTCACAGACAAGCATTGAAAGTCATTTGTTTCAAAAGCTGGAAATACAGTAAAATTTGTTAGATATGGTTGAACATAATGCAGTTTGAGAATAGAATTGAATAAGGCATTTGATAGAACTCTCAAGTCATATTTATAAATTCTATTTCATCTGTACTATAAACTGATGAATACATGCAGTTGTCTGTTATCATTTTAACTGGGTTATATTCCATCAAACATTTAACTAAAGTAATAGAAAAGTAATCAATGATTACATCAGAATTTTTGCTGTAATTGAAAATTTTTGTCGATTACAGATTACTGTCGATTACCTGAAAAAAATACTATTACTATTGAAGATTACCGTTACTTCATTTCTGGTACTTATGCTTATAGTGCATTTTAGGCACTCTTGAAATGATAGACTAATGCTCATTTTTGCTAAAAAAATTGTAACTGAGATAATGGCTTCACTTAACTTGAAGTTTTGCCTATTATAATGTACAATTTACACTTTGACTTTATAGATGAGAAATCACAGCTGTCTTAAACATGCTTCCACAGTTATTGTTTTCACACATTAGGTTTCATAATTAAGGATAATGATTATGCAGTGTAATAGTCTTTCAAAGTTCAACAAGTTCATTTATACCGTGATTCCTGGTTTTAAAAAAAAGGAACCCAACTTTTGTTGATCAGGAATGTCCCCTGAAACTAATTGAATTAATTGATTAATTGAGTTAAAATTTTGAACTAGATTTTCAGATCTTATATCCTAATCTTCATATTTAAGTGACACATCAGTCAAATCATGCAATTACTGCCTATTGAATTGATGCCTTAGTCCTTCAAAGTCTGACAAAGATGTATAGCTAGTAATATACATCCTTGGTCCCTTGCTGTTACCCAAAATAATGTTGATTTTCACCTCGCGCAAAAGTGACTAAAGCCCTCAAAATCCTAGCTTAAACCCTGTTCATAAATAAATATTCTTGTTAACATAGTTGACACTACATTAACTATAGGTCTTTCACTTTTACTGTTCTAGAGTTATGCTCCTTTACAAATGTTCTCTCCGTTCTCTAACTTAAGTTTGCCTCAACCAAATGTTATGAAACTTATACACAATGCTTATTATAACAATATACAGATCAAGTTTGAATTTTGGTGCCGTCACTTTTTTCTGTTCTAGAGTTATGCCCTTTACAAATGGAAAAATTGTAAAAAAAAATTTTTTTTTTTTCTAAATATCAAGTCATTTTTATACGACCGCAAAAAATTTTTGTGATCGTATATTGGTATGATGTTGGCGTCGTCGTTGTCAAAAGGAAGGTGGGGATTGATTTTGGGGGTTATGGTACCAACAGTTAAGGAATTAGGGGCCAAAAAGGGGCCAAAGTTGAGCATTTTCTAGTTTCCAGACAATAACTGTGGAACGGTGTATGGATCTCTCTGAAATTATACTACAAGTTTCCATACCACAAAGGGATGGTTAGGATTTGCTTTGGGGGGTTATGGCTCAAACCGTTTAGGAAAAAGGGGCAAAAAAGGGGGAAAAACAAGGTTGTCCTGGTTAATGGACAAATACTTTAGTACAAAACATAATTTAAAGCAGTGTAAGGGAGATAAATCAAATACATCATTGAAATTATCTCCCTTACACTGCTTTTAAATTATGTATAAAGTAATGGTTAATGAACAATTAAGATAATTTAAAACAATAAAAGGGAGGTAATCCAAATACAACGTTTTGGTTACTTCCCTAACACTGCTTTTAAATTATGTTTAAAGAAATGCATATTTATAAAGGAAGACCAGTAAAAATATCTGCAAATGTTGCATCTTTTTTTTTTACAAAAAAATCCATATAAAAGATTTGACACAATATTTTAAATTCTATTATAAAATAGATTAAGTTAGCACTATGGTAAATTTAAATGGGTAATTATGGTTGCAAACTCCATTGGAAATTTGAATTGAGATTATGACCATATCTTGAGGGAAAGATTTTTTTGGGGGAAAAAAAGGGGGGGGGGGGGGGTAAAAAGAAATTGTGGGGGGTCAATTTTTTCTCATTTCAGATTTCAGAAATTAAAAAGAATTATTCTTCAAATATTTTTTTTTTTTCAAATTTCAAATATTGAAAAATTTCAAGAAGTAATCTTTAATTGCACAGTATGGCGCATTTGATTTGTAAAATCTTTGACCACATTTATTTATTTGTTATGCCGAATCTAACCGTGTATTTTGATTTTTAATTTTGGGTCCAGTTTTCAAATTGGTCTACATTAAGGTCCAAAGGGTCCAAAATGAAACTTAGTTTGATTTTAACAAAAATTGAATATGTGGGGTTCTTTGATGTGCTGAATCTAAACATGTATTTAGATTTTTGTCGAGCCTGCGACTTTTGTCGCAGAAAGCTCGACATAGGGATAGTGATCCGGCGGCGGCGTTAGCTAACTTCTTAAAAGCTTTATATTTTAGAAGGTGGAAGACCTGGATGCTTCATACTTTGTATATGGATGCCTCATGTTACGAAGTTTCCGTCAGTCACATGTCCAATGTCCTTGACCTCATTTTCATGGTTCAGTGACTACTTGAAAAAAAAGTTAAGATTTTTTGTAATGTTAAATTCTCTCTTATTATCAGTAATAGGATAACTATATTGTGTATGTGCGTACCTTGCAAGGTCCTCATGCCCGTCAGACAGTTTTCACTTGACCTCGACCTCATTTCATGGATCAGTGAACAAGGTTAAGTTTTGGTGGTCAAGTCCATATCTCAGATACTATAAGCAATAGGTCTAGTATATTCGGTGTATGGAAGGACTGTAAGTTGTACATGTCCAACTGGCAGGTGTCATCTGACCTTGACCTCATTTTCATGGTTCAGTGGTTATAGTTAAGTTTTTGTGTTTTGGTCTGTTTTTCTTATACTGTATGCAATAGGTCTACTATATTTGGTGTATGGAATGATTGTAAGGTGTACATGTCTAGCTGGCAGGTGTCATCTGACCTTGACCTCATTTTCATGGTTCAGTGGTCAAAGTTAAGTTTTTGAGTTTTGGTCTCTTTTTCTAATACTATATGCAATAGTTCAACTATATTTGGTGTATTAAAATATTTTATGATCTTTATGTCAGTCACGCAGGTTTTATTTGACCTTGACCTCAATTTCAAGGTTCATTGCTCAGTGTTTAGTTTTTGTGTTTTGGTCTGTTTTTCTTAAACTATAAGCAATAGGTCAACTATATTTGTTGTATGGAAGAATTGTTAGCTGTACATGCCTGCCTAGCATGGTTCATCTGACCTTGACCTCATTTTCATGGTTCATTGCTCAATGTTTAGTTTACTTGGTTAATGTTAAGTTTATGTGACAGTTGTAATAAAGCTTTATATTTCGGACTATCAACATAATATCAATGATTAGTAAAGAAGGCGAGACATTTCAGCGTGTGCACTCTTGTTGATTTTTGGCCTTGTTTGATTTCAACAAAAATTGAATATATGGGGTTCTTTGATTTGCTGAATCTAACGTGTATTTAGATTTTTTATTTGTGGACCCTGCTATCAAATTGGTTCATATTGAGGTCAAAAGGGTCCAAAATTAAACTTAGTTTGATTTTAACAAAAATTGAATTCTTGGGATTCTTTGATATGCTGAATCTAAACATGTATTTAGATTTTTGATTATGGGCCCAGTTTTCAAGTTGGTCCAAGTTGGGGTCCAAAATTAAACTTTGTTTGATTTCAACAAAAATTGAATATATGGGGTTCTTTGATATGCTGAATCTAACCATGTATTTAGATTTTTTATTTGTGGGCCCGCTATCAAATTGGTTCATATTGAGGTCAAAAGGGTCCAAAATTAAACTTTGTTTGATTTCATCAAAAATTGAATTATTGGGGTTTTTTGATATGCCAAATCTAACCGTGTTTTTAGATATTTAATTTTGGGTCCCGTTTTTTAAATTGGTCTACATTAAGGTCCAAAGGGTCCAAAATTAAACTTAGTTTGATTTTAACAAAAATTGAATTCTTGGGGTTCTTTGATATGCTGAATTTAAACATGTGTTTAGATTTTTGATTATGGGCCCAGTTTTTAAGTTGGTCCAAGTTGGGGTCCAAAATTAAACTTTTTTGATTTCGACAAAAATTGAATATATGGGGTTCTTTGATATGCTGAATCTAACCATGTATTTAGATTTTTTATTTGTGGGCCCCGCTATCAAATTGGTTCATATTGAGGTCAAAAGGGTCCAAAATTAAACTTTGTTTGATTTCATCAAAAATTGAATTATTGGGGTTCTTTGATATTCCAAATCTAACCGTGTATTTAGATTTTTTATTTTGGGTCCCGTTTTTTAAATTGGTCTACATTAAGGTCCAAAGGGTCCAAAATAAAACTTAGTTTGATTTTAACAAAAATTGAATTCTTGGGATTCTTTGATATGCTGAATCTAAACATGTGTTTAGATTTTCGATTATGGGCCCAGTTTTCAAGTTTGTCCAAGTTGGGCTCCAAAATTAAACTTTGTTTGATTTCAACAAAAATTTAATATATGGGGTTCTCTGATATGCTGAATCTAACCATGTATTTTGATTTTGGACATTGGACCATAATAGGTAAATGAAAAAAAAATCAAGTTCTTAGACCACATTCTTTCTGTGTCAGAAACCTATGCTGTGTCAAATATTTAATCACAATCCAAATTCAGAGCTGTATCAAGCTTGAATGTTGTGTCCATACTTGCCCCAACTGTTCAGGGTTCGACCTCTGCGGTTGTATCAAGCTGCGCCCATTAAAGCATTTTATTAAAATTGGAGTTATCTTTCTTTGTCCATGATTATAGTTGAATCAACTACAATCAATGCTTTATACAATGCAATGTTTAATTTTGCCTTCCACTGATAAAGCAATTTTTACCCTTCATTTCTAAAAATATTTTAAAGTCTTCTTTGAAAACTGAAGTTATCTTTCTTTGTGCATAATGGTAGTTGAATCAACTACAACCAATGCTTTATACAATGCAGTATTCAATTTTACTTCCTACTGATAAATTAAAGTTATCTATAATTCAGTGCTTACAAGCACTTTGATTACTGTTCTAGGGTTATGCCCATTTACAAATGAAAAAATTGCTGAATTTTTCGTTTCCGTTCTTTAACTTGAGTTTGTCTTAACTAAATGTAATTTCTAAAAGTATCAATGTCATTATTCAAGTAATTTTTATACGACCGCAAAAAATTTTTGCGGTCGTATATTGGTATGACGTTGACGTCGTCGTCCTCGTCTGGCGTCGTCCGGCGTCGTCCGAAGACACATTGGTTTTCGCACTCTAACTTTAGTTTAATTGAATGAATCTCTATGAAATTTTACCATAAGGTTCAATACCACAAAAGGAAGGTTGGGATTGATTTTGGGGGTTATGGTACCAACAGTTAAGGAATTAGGGGCCAAAAATTTGTAACTTCCAGACATAACTTGTGTGTTAGTGTATGAATCTCTCTGACATTGTACCACAAGGTTCCATATCACACAGGGAATGCTGGGATTGATTTTGGGGGTAATTGCCTAAAAATATTAGGAATTAGGGGCCAAAAAAGGGGCAAAAAACAAGCATTTTTCCAGTTTCATGACAATAACTTGTGTGAAAGTGTATGGATCTTTCTGAAATTGTACTACAAGGTTCCATATCACAAAGGGAAAACTGGAATTGAGTTTGGGGGTAATTGCCCAAAACGTTTAGGAATAAGGGGCCAAAAAGGGGCCAAAAATAAGCATTTTTCTAGTTTCCAGACAATAACTTGTGTTCAAGTGTATGGATCTCTCTGAAATTGTACCACAAGGTTCCATATCACACAGGGAATGCTGGGATTGATTTTGGGGTAATTGCCTCAAAATTTTAGGAATTAGGGGCCAAAAAAGGGGCAAAAAACAAGCATTTTTCTAGTTTCATGACAATAACTTGTTTGTTAGTGTTTGGATATTTCTGAAATTGTACTACAAGGTTCCATATCACAAAGGGAAAGCTGGAATTGAGTTTGGGGGTAATTGCCCGAAACATTTAGGAATTGGGGGCCAAAAAGGGGCCAAAAATAAGCATTTTTCTAGTTTCCAGACTATAACTTGTGTTTAAGTGTATGGATCTCTCTGAAATTGTACTGCAAGGTACCATACCACAAAGGGAAGGCTGGGATTGAGTTTGGGGGTGATGAATCATAAGGGGGTTAAAACAATCAGGAGGGGGGGGGGAATTTTTTTTATTTTTATTTTTTTTTTATTTTTTTCCTTTTTTTTTTCTTTTAAAATTTTCCATTTTAAGTTGGTTATTTCTGATTTATATTTAAAAGCAAATAATAATGATATGGTAGGAGAAACACACCAAACAGATGTGTAAATTATTATATAATAAGTATTGTGCAATAGCAAGAAATTTTCAATTGCACAGTATTGCACAATAGCAAGAAATCTTCAATTGCACAGTATTGCGCAATAGCAAGAAATCTTCAATTGCACAGTATTGCGCAATAGCAAGAAATATCCAATAGCACAATATTGCGCAATAGCAAGAAATTGTCAATTGTGCAGTATTGCGCAATAGCAAGAAATATTCAATTGCACAGTATTGTGCAAAAGAAGATACTTCCTATAAATTGCTTATTTCTTGACCAATGTCAATGGGGTTTTATTCTTGAATTCTTGGGGTTCTTTAATATGCTGAATCTAACCGTGTATTAAGTTTTTGGATTTTGGGCCCCGTTTTTAAATTGGTCCACATTGAGGTCCAAAGGGTCCCAAATTAAACTTTGTTTGATTTCATCAAAAATTGAATTATTGGGGTTCTTTGATATGCCGAATCTAACCGTGTATTTAGATTCTTAATTTTTGGGTCCGTTTTCAAATTGGTCTACATTAAGGTCTAAAGGGTCCAAAATTAAACTAAGTTTGATATTAACAAAAATTGAATTCTTAGGGTTCTTTGATATGCTGAATCTAAACATGTATTTAGATTTTTGATTATGGGCCCAGTTTTCAAGTTGGTCCAAATTGGGGTCCAAAATTAAACTTTGTTTGATTTCAACAAAAATTGAATATATGGGGTTCTTTGATATGCTGAATCTAACCATGTATTTAGATTTTTGATTTTTGGGCCCCGTTATCAACTTTGTCCACATTGAGGTCAAAAAGGTCCGAAATTAAACTTTGTTTGATTTCATCAAAAATTGAATTCTTGGGGTTCTTTGATATGCTGATTCTAACCATGTATTTAGATTTTGGATATTGGACCATAATAGGTGAATGTCCAATTTAAAATTTTTAAGTTCTTAGACCACATTCATTCTGTGTCAGAAACCTATGCTGTGTCAAATATTTAATCACAATCCAAATTCAGAGCTGTATCAAGCTTGGATGTTGTGTCCATACTTGCCCCAACTGTCAGGGTTCGACCTCTGCAGTCGTATCAAGCTGCGCCCTGCGGAGCATTTTATTAAAATTGGAGTTATCTTCCTTTGTCCATGATTATAGTTGAATCAACTGCAATCAATGCTTTATACAATGCAATGTTTAATTTTGACTTCGACTGATAAAACACAGATCAAGTTGAATTTGGGTAGTGTCACTTTAACCATTATTGAGTTATGCCCCTTTATAAATCGAAAGATTGCAAAATATTTAGTTTCCATTCTGTAACTTAAGTTTGCCCCAACCAAACACTATGAAACCTATACACAATATTCATTACCACAATACGAACGAAGTCGAAGGGGACTTTAGGTTTGCACTCCTTCCATCTGTCTGTCTGTCTGTCTGTCTGTCTGTCTGTCTGTGCCTGTCTGTCTGTCTGTCTGTCTGTCTGTCCTTCTGTCAGTCCGGCAAATCAGTTTTCCACACTTTTTTTCTTCATGCTTGAAGATATTGATTTTATATTTGGTATATTGTTTTATCATGACAAGTGACAGATCAAGTTCGAATTTTGTTCCGGTCTGATAATTTTGTGCAGAGTTATGGTCCTTGGACTTGGAAAATTCACTCAAATATTCAGTTTTCCACACTTTTTTCCGTCATTCTTGAAGATATTGATTTTATAATTGGTACATTGTTTTATCATGACAAGTTACAGATCAAGTTCGAATTTTGTTCTGGTCTGATGATTTTGTGCAATGTTATGGTCCTTGGACTTAGAAAATTCACTCAAATAATCAGTTTTCCGCACTTTTTTTTGTCATGCTTGAAGATATTGATTTGATAATTGGTATATAGTTTTATCATGACAAGTTACAGACCAAGTTTGAATTTTGTTTCGGTTTGATGATTTTTTGCAGAGTTATGGTCCTTGGACTTAGAAAATTCACTTACATTATCAGTTTTCCTTACTTTTTTCGTCATGCTTGAAGATATTGACTTGATATTTGTTATATAGTTTACACCATGACAAGTTATGGATCAAGTTAGCATTTTGTTACAGTACAATTATTTTTTAACCGGTTAGGGACTATGTATTGCCATGCAATACTCTCAGAATGCTTGTTACTACATAATACAGATTAAGTATGAAATTTGGTGGCGACACTTTTACCATTCTTGAGTTATGTCCC